GAACAACAAAATTGGCCAATCATGCTATTTATGCATAAAGCACCATGCCCAAGACTATTCACCGGATCGTGAATACCCCTGATATTACTCATATGTCATGTACGTTGCCATACTCGTACATGGCGTATGAGTAAAATTTTCCACGTTAAAGTTTCATTCATAATGAAAACGTAAAATGGAAATATCTTGGGAAAATTATCTGATAAAAAAAAAGGGTATGCAGATCCGTAATCTACGCTCAAAAATTAAGTTTACGCGTCTCTGCGTTTTATTGTGTCATTTTAGCGTTCCGACAGTGTTTTTTTTTTTTTTTGGCTGTGGGGAAAGTGAGTGGTGTAGCCCTGGGATCAGTTTGCCGCTCATTTGTACGGTTACATTTCCCACTTTTTCGAGTTAAGGATAATTTCAACGTATTTTGCGATATCGTTCAATTTTATTTTTTACCTATAATTTTTACAACGATGTTGTCGGCGGATACTTTCACCACTTTATGCAGATCCGTAATCTACGATCAAAAATTAAGTTTACGCGTCTCTGCGTTTTATTGTGTCCTTTTCAGCGTTCCTACAGTGTTTTTTTTTTGGCTGTGGGGAAAGTGAGTGGTAAGGTAAGGATACTTTCGACGTATTTTGCGATATCGTTCAATTTTCTTCGTTACCTATAATTTTTACGACGATGTTGTCGGCGGATACTTTCACCACTTTTCGTTCTAATGAATCCCGTTCTGACTTTCATCTGTGATGTTTGAAGAACGTGTGCTCTGCATCATCTATCTCGGCGTCGTATGTGCAACTTGGTGTCTCCACTTTCGACATTCTGTGTATTTACTATTTAAAGTAACCGTGTCCGGACAGCAGCTGGGTGATCTCATGGTTTACGCCTCCGTGGCCTCTTTACACCCGTTTATTTATTTCTGGAATGAGATTTGCCGTCCATCTGCCTCGCTTCTCCGCGTTCCATCGCTTCTGCCATATAGATTGAGTTTGCGTTTTTTTTTTTCTTGCGATGCTTCCGCTGTGTTTGTAGCCTGTTTTCGGTTCCACTTCATTTTCCGTTTTTTTTTTGCTGCCAAGGCAATATACCACTTATAACTAGGATCACAGCCTCTGAAACTGTCCGGTAGCTGAGGTCTTAAGTGTGGCCGCTGTTTTTTGTACAGACAAAAAAAAAATACGCTTTGGTTTTCACAAAGCCAAAATGAAACGCATTCAAGATGACGAGGCTCCCGATGAAGACGAGATACAGGAGAGGCTCTTGTAAAAGTTATCTTCTTAAAAGCTTGACTTCTCAACTTTTGGAGATTGAATTTTATTCTACATTTCACAGGTCTTCATCGCACACAAAAGCTAGTGCTAGATTGCTCAAACTCAAATACTAAATGTGAGAAGTTTCTTCTCCTTTCTTACTCTTCCTAAGCTGATTTGTTATGAATTAGTTTGGTTACTATTAGTTTGAGTTTTCCACACATCCGAAATGTTGGAATTCAGAGCTAATTATTTATTCCTGATAAGCACTAGTTAGGTGAATTATGGAATGTTAAAAAAATTCAGGTGAATTGTCAGAGCAACTGCTAGGAGACAAGCTCGCAACTAAATACAATTCCGGACTACGAATGAATTTCGAGCGAATTCAACTAACAAATCCTAACACTGACGTTTTTTCACAAAGCGAGTCCTGTATAAATATTTGTGAATTGCTTTCAGGGAAAACATTAGTTTTTTTAGTTTTCGAATACCAACTCTCGCTATATATATGTATTAGTTCCAATAAAGCCAATCGTAAATAGAATTTTTGGTATTTAACAGCGTATGCATACATGCATCCATATATGTAAGTATGTATACATTTCTCTCAGCAAACTGTGCGCTTTATGTGTGTTTGTGTTTGCAGCAAAATCACCAGCCGACAGCCCCTCAGGCGGCCGCTATGCCAACAATCGCTGCTGGTGCTGCTTCTGCTGAACGCCAACATATAAGCCAACATGTTTGCCACATTGTTAGTCAGCACAAGCGGTTGTTTGCCTTGCGCAGCAACAACAACAACGACTGAAACATTCAACTCTTGTTTTTATTTGCCCTTTTTTTGGAAAGGCGAGTGTGGCGAGGCATGCGTTAGCATTTGCTTTTCAGTCATCCTTTTCCATTTCTCCTTATCACATTTTTTGTTATCTTTTTTTTTTTTGGCTCGCTTCGATTTGTTAATTGCTTTGCTGCGCCGGTTCTTTACCGATTCTTTTGGGACATTGCAATGTTGGCGGTTTTCAGGATGCTGGCTACTCTCTTTGCTGATTGTCGACTGACAGTTGCTGATTTATGCAAATTCGTGCATTTACTGTGTGTTTGTCAATTCCAGAGTTCTGTGTGCTTTGCATATCGTCGAAAAAAATTTGCTCGAAGTGAGCGACAGCAATTAGCGAGACAAGGAGTTGCAGCAGAGCGGCGAACAGACGAGTTTTGAAGTGGAAGAGTTATGCTAAGATTGTAAACACTCTGATGTGCTGATGTTCACCTAGAGTGTTTCTCAGCGCCATTTTTGCGTAGTTTTTATTTTCATATGTAAACACCAGCAGTGTCTATTTTTAATGGTTCTTATGATCGGACGCGGATAGCACTCCTTCTGGCTGTCGGTAGCCACTATTTCGCAGAAGAATTTTTATGGATTTTTATTTATATTATAATTTTATAATTTTAGCCCCACGGAAATAAGTATTTCTAAAACTACGTTTGCTTGAGAGTGTGTAGACAGTCATGTAATATTTTTTGTTTGCTACTCTTACTCTGCTCTTTTTCTATTAACAGCCACTAACCTTGCGTTCAATGCTATTTATGTATGATTTGAGCCCTATATGTACATATGTACGTGTTGACCCTCAGATCAATTCTGGCTAAGATAGTAAAAAAGCTTTCATAAGACAAGCGAAAGGCTTTTATTATAGCATACAACTAAAAAAAAACCTCTCTCATTCACCACTCGTGGTGAATTGCTATTTTGAGAAAAAGCACTTAAAAATATATATTTTTAATTTAATTTAATTTTTAGAAACTTATTTTATGTACTTTTCCTTTGTTAATTTATTTATTTTTTCTTTCTTAATTTAATTTACTTTTAATTTTTAGATGTTACTGATTTAAAAAGAAAAATATTTTATTTAATTTCGTAAAATTTTTGGAAACTTATTTAATCTTTTCTTTTTTAAATATTTTTTTGTTTTTTAGTTTAATGTTCCTTTGATTTTTAAATATATTTTTGTAATGTAGTTCAATTTTTAAGAACTTATTTTATTAAGTTTTTGTTTCAATATTTTTTCTTTTATTTATTTCAATATCTTGTTATCCTTAAATTTTATTGCTTTAAAAAGAAAAACATATATTTTTATTATTTTTGTATTTATTTTTTCTAATTTCATCTGGTCTTTTTTAATTTATTTTTCTTTGATTTTTTAGATCTTATTTAATAATAAAAACTTGTTTTATTTCTAATTTTAAGTATTATTCCTTAATTGTTTGATTTAAGTTTTTTCCTTTTTCTAATTTAATTTGTAGATTTTAGTGTTTTAAAAAGAAATTGATTTTTAAGAGTTATTTTCTTCTTTTTTTTGGATTATTATTATTTTTTCGTTTTTTTAATATAATTTAATTTGCAGTTATTATTGTGTTAAAAAGAAAAGATTTTTATGTACTATTTTCTTCTTTTTTGAAATTTTTTTTCCATTTTAATGTGTAGATTTTATTGTTTTAAAAAGAAAATATTTTTTTTATATCATTTAATTTTTAAAAATGTGTTCATTTGTTTTGTTTGAATTTCCTTTTGTTTTGTATTTTTTAAATTTATTTGTCTTTTATTTATTAGTTTTAATTGTTTTAAAACGATATACATATATATATTTTTTTATTTAAAATTACCTCATGTAAACACCGTATTACGGTAATGGCGTAAGTAGGGTTGTATCTATGTTGCCTAAGGAAGCGTATATTTTTGTGTGCATAAGCGCCGTTTTAATGAGAACATAAAACGCCCATTAGTACATCGAATCGCTCTTCTAGTGTCATTATAAATATTGTAACAACCTTATCATTCTTGAAACTACCATTAATTCTTTGGAACATGAAGAAATTAACGGTACTCTTAAGATTTTATATGAGAATTGAAGTCGGTTTTTTGCTTAAAAATTATTATTTTTATTTTTTTTTACTTTTTAATTTTCGCCAACAGCGCTACTGCTATATTTTCATATCTCTTTTTGTTTTCTGCAATTACAAACGAATTTTCCATTTACCACAACTCAACTTTATTTATTTCTAGTTGCGCAAATAGCAGTTGCCTTTGTTTATCTAATTTTCTCATTCACCCCCTTTCGGCTATGGAAAAGCTCAACTAATTAATTCCTTTGTTGCATTTTTTTGCAACATACTTAAATTTTATAAGCAACACACATACATACATACATACATGCATAGATTTTTAACGAGCTTAATGCCAATATAATAAAATGCTTTTAAATTAAGCGAAACTAAATATTCCCTCCGTTTATTCGCTCACTTTCTGGCTTATATTCTATCCCTACTCTGTATCTATGGACTTACATAATATATATGTATATGTATGTAATAAAAAGTTATTTAACTCTATCTCTCATTACTTTCATTTTTATTACAGCTTCCAGCGGCGGAAAAAACAACTGCAACAGCTGGCCTTTGCCAGCAGACACTGTTTAAGTGGAGCAGCAAGAAAGCAACAAAAAAATATAACAACTCAGGATAAATACATAAGTGTTCATAAAAGCAGCAAGCGGCAAGCAACAAGCCATACTGAGGCGAAAAGCGTAAAAACATAAAAGCGGAAAAGTGTAAAAAAAATTAAACTTAATTTACGAAGGAAAGAAGAGTTTGGAAAGCTGCAAAAAAAGTGTGGAAAAATTTTAAAAAATATGATGAAAATGTTGACGGGCGTGTAAATTTGTAAAGTGTAACTAGCAAAAGTTTAAACTGTGACTGTCACTGTGAAAATTCAAGGAAAGCTTTGCTTGACAAAGCTATGAGAGTTATCTTCCCAATAGCTGCATTATCGCCTACTGTAGTGGTTAAGAAGAGATTGTGAGAGAGTAAAACCAAGAGAGGAAAAGAGAGCGAAAGTTCGTTCGAAAGTGACCGAAAAGGAGCCAGAGTGCTAAACTTTTAACGCTGCCCTTGCCAAAAAAAAAACCTTTCAATTCGCTCCCTGCTTTACCCACATCCCCACGCTCGCCATTGTTGTCACCTAGGTCGCACGCCCGCCGCGGGGCGTTATTATGCAGAAGAAGCCACCATTGCCGTTGACGGCATTCATTGGCGGCCCCACGCTCATACCCGCCTCCCAATCGGCCACCAGTTCGAGCAGCAGCAGCAGCCTTGGCAGTGGAATGTGCTTCCCCAGCAGTAAAAGTGGTAGTGGCAGTGGTGGTGGCACCAGCGGCGGCGGAAGTAGCGGAGAAAAACAGCGCGATCGCCATGGTGGCGGTGGAGGATTGTGTGGCTGCCACAAGGCGCCTAAGTCACATTGCATATCGGCGACAGGTGAGTGTAAAAGAGAAGAGAGTAGAAAATATGGAAAGAGGTATAAAGAGAAGGTAGAGATAGGTAGACAAAGGCAAAACAGGAGAGAGAGATATAGATGGATAGGATGGAATAGTTAAAGATAGAGAGATAGAGCGAGAGAGAGAGAGAGAAATAAACAAAAAGGCAGAGTGAGCTGGCAGAGAGACAGAGCAAGATATAGATAAAAACAGAATTCAAAAGAGACAGGAGATATATGGATGAAGGGAGCTAGCTTGAGAGGAAGAGATGGCGGAAATGTTTGGGAGAAAAAATATATAAGAGGAACGAAATTTTTGTGTGACGTGCAGTTGCGATAGAGAAATGCCAAACGCGAGCAAGAATGGGAAAAGAAATGCAAGAAAAACGTAAACAAGTTACACCAGTGTGACGTGATACAAACAGTGATTCTGTCAAATTCACTGAGAGCGGAAAAGCGGTACCGAGATGAGCGCCACCTTTGTTCTCTACATCGTGGGTTAACGATACAAAAAATGGATAAGTGAAGCAGAGAGTAGGAAAGTGATATACAAGTGGAACCACGATTGAGAGAAATAGAGGTTGCGCCAATCACGGTACCGCTATTAGTGAATTTGACAGAATCGTTGTTTGTATGACGTCACACTTGTGCAACTTGTTTACGTTTGCCTTGCAACATTTTTTCTTCTTCTTTCATTCTTCCTCACGTTTTGGCATTTCTCTCTCGCATTGCACCAGTGTGACGCCACACAAAATTTATTCTCAAAAATCCTCTCTGATAGGCGCAATCTTGTATTCTATCATTCTTGGGTGGAATAACATCAAAGGAGGAGATTATTAGCTATAAAGAGAGAGTAATGGTGATACAGGGGGATAAGTATGACAGGGGGATGAATATGGGTTATGAGAGAAAAGGAAAACTATAATAATAATTAAGATTGAGAGAGAAAGAGAAGAGAAAAACAAGAGAGAAAAGGTAAGAGCTATAGGGCAGAGAGAAAGAGAGAGCGAAGTAGAGGAAAAATATAATTTAGAGAGAAACATGAAACATCTACCGCTATTCATTTGATTATCTCACCTCTCGTAGGCGTCCTCCTGCTCGTACTACTCTACACCGCTATGGGCTCCATTATTTTCGTCACACTGGAAGGTGAACTGGAGGACACCAGTTCGCTAGAGACAGCAGTGGCGGCGTCGAAAAAATTTCCACGCACCGAGCTGGCCAACGAGCAAATAAGATCGCGGTGAGTAGATACACAGCAATTTTCCTTTTTAGTTATTAATATTAGATACACTCACGCGCCATTCCAACATTAATCCCTTACGACTAACCGCAAAAGTAAAAATGAAAACTATAAAATTGAAAAAAAAAAAACCAAAAAAAAAAATTCGTTGAGTGCTGCGCTTAGTCGCCTACAATTTCCAGTCACGTTTCGGGCAGTTAAGCACGAAATAGCAAGGTTTTCCGGTGATTGTTGTACAACAGCAACAACAACAAAATAAAAAGTCACTATTTGGAGCAGCAGCGAGTTAGTGATATTTTCGACTCTACACTAAAAGGCGAGTGGTGGGTAAAAGTGTGCTTGTGTAAGACGGCAGTGCCGAATGTGCGATAGTGGTCGCTGGGGGCGCGCATACATACATAAGTGTCATTTTCCTGTCACAGATACTCCAGCCCCAATTACAGCTGTGTGTGCGTGTTTCCGTGTGTGTTTTAAGCAAAGTAAAGTAAACTAATTTTTAAATGGAACCAAAATATAGTATCCGATTACAAATTGGCAAAATGGCCGAAATATTTTAGAGCCAATAAACGCATTGGCAAGCCATAGCAAGCGGGCGAGTGTATGGTGGCAGACAGCCAGCCAACGGGGCGTACAAGTGACAGCATTAGCCGCTAGCTGTGACTGTGCCAGTGGCTGTGGGCGGTGGGCGGTTGGCGTTGGGCGGTGGTGCTCAATGCTGCGTAACAGCAGCGGATGTCTTTCATAGGCGTCAAGTGATAAAATTTAATGTCTGTCGCCTGTCTTCTTAGCCAGTTAGCCAGCTTAAGCCACATTTGCATACCAGCATCGAACGCGCTGTGCTTTTGTTCTACTCTCTCTTAAAGTATCTTTTTTTACAAAATTCCTTCACTTACTTTTCTTTTTTTGATTTCATTACAATTTTAGCTGCTTACCCTATTTTCCATTATTTATTTTATTATTATTTGCTTATGTTATGTTATTAAAGTTGGGTTTATCTGCGCGCAAATGATTAAAAAAGGAATCTACTAAATGGCTGTAGGGCTTGCTGAAATGACTTGGCTTGGAACTCACTGCGGAGTCGTTTGCAATTTGAGATTTTTGTGCTTATTTTTCAAACCATAAGCAAATATTTTCATAATAGGCAACATATGCTTCTTCATATTCTTACAAAAACATCATTTTTTAATCTTTTTTTTTCCGTTTCCATTCTTCATACAAGCCTAGACGAAAGGCAGACATGCCGAACTAAAAATGTATGTATGAATGTATGTACACCACACATGCACATTTATTGGCATTTTGATGAATAAAATTTTATTAAATGCTTAACGCGCTAGTAGGCGAATTGTTTCTTTCATTAAGAGCCCATATTAGTTCCGAGTATTTTTTTTTATTCTACATTCATACATATGGTATGTACCTATTGTACGTACATATGTCTATCTAATTAAAATTTTTAATACAATTCCAATTTTTTCAACATTCAGAAATTACAATTTTTCAAATTCAAAAATTAATTAAATAGTTTAAAACACAAAGTTTTAAGGTTTCAAAATTCAGAATGTTAAAAAACTAAAAATTAATTTTTTCAGTCTTCAGAAATTAAATATTTTCATTTCCAAAAATCATCCAAAGATTTAAAAATTAAAACTTGTTTATGTTTCAAAATTCAAAAATTTGTAAAACTGAAAATCAAAAATTGTCTCTTCCAAAAATTAGCTACAGAACCAAAATTCAGAAATCAGTGTTAACAAATTCAAAATTGTTTAAAGCTGAAAATTTGTTTTCTGAAATTCTAGAATTCAATAGAAGAATGCATTACTTAATATTAAATTAAAAATTCCATGTTCGACATTGAAATTTAAAGTTCTAAGGTAAAATTCCAAAGCTTGAGAATTGAAAATTAAAAACCAAAGTCTTTAGAACTGAAAATACAAAATTTTAAATTTCACAAAAATTCATATTAAAATTTTTAAGTCAAACCTTATAACTGAAAATGTTTCCCAAATTTAAAAACAGAACTCGAACCTCAAGAGTAAGTAATAGGAATATAACTTTCAAATAAAAAAATTAGGTATTCTAATTCAAAACACAAACAACAAATTGTCAATTAAATTTCAAAATACGAAACTTAAAAACGAAATTTAATTTGAAACTCAAAGGATAAATTGGAAGTCCAAAAATTACTTAAATTTAATTAAATAAATTTTAGGCAATTTTTTTACATACAATTAAAAAAAAACTATTTTAAACACACTTACTGCCGGTTTCATCGCCAATTTAAATGGAAAATGACCTTTCATTTTCTGTCAGTTTCCATATAAAATTCAATAAATGAAAATAATTTTCCACTTAAATTGCTTTCGTGAAATAGGCTGTTAGGAATTAGGAATAAGAAAGAATGAGTGATCAAATGAAAATGAGGGAAGATTTTTTGTATGAAAAATCAGCGGAATAGAATGTTACTTATGCGCCATGCACACGCTTTCCTGCTCATTTTTCATACAAAAAATCCTTGCGCATTTTCATTTGACCAGTCAATCCTTTTTTATCAAAAATCAATATATGAACCGAGTTGCTTTTACTGAACAGCTCAAAATCCCAAACAAAATTGATGTTTCCGAAAATTTAAAGACTAAATTCTAATCTAGAATTCTATAAGATAGAAGCGTGAAAATATTTAGAGTTTGCATAAAAATAGTTAAATTTTAATATAATGAAATAAAATCTCAAAATTCTGGCCACTTAACTCAAATTCCCAAATTCAATAATAAACACTGGATTGCTAGTAAAAACCCAAAATGTTGAATAAAAATTTAAAGTTCAAAGACAATTTTGAAATCCAAATCTACTTGAAGAAACCAACTCAAAAATTAAATTCTAATTAAAATTTTACAACCAAGAAAAGAAGTAAATAAAAAATTAAATTTTGAGCACTCAAGCTTAAAATTTAAAACCCTGAGTTCAATTAGAAATTAGAAAATAAAAATTTCCCTGCTTCCCTTCCGAAGTACGATCTTTAGTCACATCGTCTGCTCGCTCTCATTTTAAGAAAATTCTCAACTTTTTTATTGGTCTGCGCGCGCATTTCTAAATTTATGGCTTCATCTTTATTTACGACTACGACTAATTGAAATAAATTCACGGTGATTATTATATTTGGCAAATTTTCAGGGGCTCTGATTATTTATTTCACACTCACAACAACCCAACAAATGGCGTACAAACATGCTGTCCATTACTAAAATTACAGTAATTTCGCTATGAGTTGGACGCTCGAAGGAGAACTCGAAAGTAGCAGCAATCATTTTCTTGTGTGTGTGTGTGTGTGTGCGCCTGCGAGTGTATTTAGCTATCTACCCTCATTGAAAGATATAATTGCCCTACTAAATAACCACACTAGTAGCTATTACACCAACAAAACACCGCCCCCAACAACAATAACAACAACTAGCTTACTGTGGGGCGACCCTACTTTGGCCCTCACAGCGACGGCGCAGCAACGCAGCAACCCAAACGAACTCACTTCAACTTGACGTGAACATAATTTAAGGTGTAAAACGTGATTTGTGTTGACTGCAAATGAGTTCAGGTACGCGAGAGTGCGTAAGTGTGCGTGCAGTTGTGTATGTGTGTGTGTCTGTGTAGGTGTGTATGTGTGCTCATGCAACTAACAACATTTGTCCTACTTGTTACCTGTCTTGTTAATGCCCGACTTATAACAGCTCTATAAAGGTCTCATGATGGATTTATTTTCAAGTAATTGCTTTGCCTTGCATTAATAAATTCTGTCGCCTTCTCTCTCTCTCTCTCTGTCTCTCTCTCGCTCTTCCGCTTGCAATTATTGTGAATTGTATTAGTAATTTGGTGTTGTTGTAGTTATTTGTAACTGTTGGCGCTGACGTTGTTATGTGGCAAATATTTGTGTACTTTCAACAGTTAAATATGTGTTTTGATAATTCGGTACTGAATATTTGTAATTGTTATCTTTGTGTTTGTGTTGTTGGTATGTATGTACATACATATGTATGTATCCATTGTGTTGCAACTAAGTCGGCTTCCAGTGCGTATACGTAATATTTCTGTACGAATGATTGGGGAATGACAGAGCGTATACGTAGTATTTGTAAACGGTTGAGAGAACAAATATGTTGAATAAGACTAATATTTATGTTATTTAACAGAATTGAAGGGAGGATTATTCATTGTGTTGTAATAGGTAAACTGAATAGAATTAATTCAAATTAATTCACACAACATAATTTCGTAAATAGTTTGACCTGATTAAAAAGCGGTAATTGAATTTAAGTTTCAATTTCGTACTTCGAATTTTAAAATTTAATCGCAAATTTTGTTCTCAATTTTTCAAAAGCTACTTGAGAAAACAGCTATTATAGCCAGCTTCATGAAAGCAATTTAAGTGAAAAATGAATGTTGTATTTGAACTAAATATGGAAACTGACAGAAAAAATATAATTTTTCACTAAATTGCGTTGGTGAAACCGGCAGTAAGAATTTTCAAACATGTTAAGTTTAAATTTTACATTAAAATTTAAGACTTTGAATAAATGATGTCATTCTAAATTTTTGAGTTTCAAAAATTAAAATGTGAAATTTTACTAGTTTTAAATATAAATTTAAGTTTCAAACCTTAATTTTTTAGTTTTAAATTGTTTAATTCCGTGGTTTAAATTATTAATTTTTAATATAAAGTTTTAGCTTTTTAGCATTGTGTTTTGAATATAATTTAAAATATTTAGTTTTTTTAGTCTGTAGTTGCGAGTTCAAATGTTGAATTTTGAGCGGTGAGTTCTATCTATTGAATTTTGAGTTTTGATTTTGGTTTTGAGTTCTGAATCTGATTTTTGAATTTTTATTTTTGAATGATATATTTAAAATTTTTTGTTTTTCAGTTTTGATTTTTGGCATTTGACTTTTGCGGCTTTACGTTTTATTGTGAGCTATAAATTTCAACCAAATTTAACAGTTATTTTATGATT